TTTTCTGGGAAAACCACTAGACCTTATTGAAAGATATGTATTTCTTAAACTTTAGTATTTAAAAATTGGTATTTTTTTAGTTTATTTTTATATTAAGTCAATAGACTTATACATGGTTACATGGATTTATCCTTCCTGAGAATCTGGCTTTATATACTTGTTAGCTAAATAAATATGGAATAATGTGCATTCTTTACTTTGACATTTTCATTTGTAGTTGTTTGCAGTCTAAATTATTACATTTAAATGCAGAATTGTTTTTTGGCATGATTTCCTAGGTTTGTACAAGCATGCAATTTTCCAAGAGAATGAAGTGACTCTTCTAATTTAGTTTTTTTCTTTAAAATCGACATTAAATTTCTTGGTTTTGTTTTCTAAGATTGCAGATGAAGAGGCAAAGAAAAGGACAAAGCCTTTGCGAGTTAAAAAGCTCTATGTGTTATCAGCCTTACTTACAGAACAGTGCCATGAACAAATGAAAAATGCACAAAGGGGAAAAGTTAAAGGAAAAAGTTCAGAGGTAGAGTGGTGGTGTTTTTTTTTTTTTTTTCTTTTGTAATTCTGGTATGTGCTACCTAGTCAGAATAAATACAGCTATCTTCATATGAGGCTGTTACTGTTTTTTTAATAACCCTTTTTCTTGCTAAGAACAGAACTTTCCTTAAAGCAAGTCTTCTGTGAAAACATATTGTTTAAAGTATTATTTTTAAACATTTAAATCACATGTATTAGTAGATATTTTTTCCTAAGTTTAATGTGTTTTTCTTAGTGTTTTCACTGTAACAATGAAAATCATACTAACAAACTCCAGATTTATTTTTTTTTTCCTGCAAGACTCGCCCTTTCCTGTCATTTAGGAGTCTGTATCAATCCCAAAGAGAGATCTGTGATTAGATTAAGCTATGTTGGCTATAATTTAGCAGGGAGACAGCTCCAGATATGGGGGAAGCAAATGGAAGAGTTTTTTTTTGTTTTTCCTGCTTACACTTTCATCTTCATATGCATAAATGAAACAGTTTAAACGAAGTTTTAAGAGATCTGGTGTTGAATTGCAATATTAATCCAAACTATGAACCAGTCTGCAGATGTGCACAGAATGTATTTGTACACATGTATATGATATTTATCTTTGAAAATCTGCACCATATGTTCTGCCTATGCACTGTATAAAATGCCTAACAATGTTCTCTTTAGGTCCATGTATTTATATTTTCCCTAGTTAACACAGACAGTGGTGTAATCACCAAGTACAGAAGAGTTCTTTTCATATATCCCTATTTCCTGCGTATCTGTTTCGTATAAAAATTACTTGTGATACTGCTTTGTTTTCAGACTGCTTCAGCTTTGGCTGGTTTTCTAGAAGAAGATGTTCTTTCTTCAACTAATCGCTTTGCAGACAATGCTTGGCGAGGAGCTGAGGCTTACCATTTTTTCATACTTGCACAAAGACAGCTCCATAAAGGTTCTGTAGATGCAGCACTTAAAACAGGTAGGACTTTATTTTTAACCCTGTAAAGAAACTGTTCTAATTTGACAGACTGGCATAGCACATAATTGCATTTATAGTTGGCACATTTTTATATTCTTGCTAGATCCATGGAATTTTAAAACAAAACCATATAATGAATTAAATATGGCTGCAGTCAGGATACCTGGAAAATTTTCTTGGAGACAATGCAAATCAAACTTAACAAATATTACCTGGTTAAATTGGACAGTCTCTGCAGATGTTCTATTGACTGTCTTGTTTCTTTCTTTAAATAATAAGGCATGCCTGAATTCACATCAGACCTCCCCGCAGAGCATCATAAAAAGTTTGTGGGAGTTAGGGAAACAAATAGGGCCCTACACTTTGTCCAAGTAATGAAGGTCCATTTCAAATATTTCTAACATCTTTTTTTAAAAGGTGCCCCAGTCAAATCCTGTTACTTTTATTTATTTTTAAAGAGTGTTGAACGATGCATGCTTCATAGTCATTTCAAGGAAAAGATGGTTCATTGTGTCCAATTTGTAAGATTAATACTGTCTGTGAGTAGCAAATACTTCATACAGATGCTTGCACTTCTCAGAACACATGTAATAATTTCCTTGGTTTTTTTTTTTTTCATTTCTTAGCTCTTCATTTGCGAGATTACGAAGACATTATCCCTGCAGTTGAAATCTATTCCCTTTTGGCACTCTGTGCATGTGCAAATAGAGTATTTGATGTTTGTTCAAAAGCCTTTGTTAAACTAGAATCCTTGGAAACTCTTAGGCCAGAGCAGAGGCAACAGTATGAAGACCTTGCTCTGGAGATATTCACAAGACATTGTCCAAGGTCTAACAAAAAGTCTGATCTGGATGACGTTCTTGAGAGGTGGGTTTATATTTCTATGATACTGTGTAATAATAGTAACATTTTTTTCTGCTATTGTCTGTATTTTGGGTTTTAGCAAGTTTTGTGTGACCAAGTTAATCAGGTGCTTTGCTGCTTAAACCAAATATTGGACAAGAATGATGCAGGTGTTAGCCAGTTTGCAGAAAGGGTAATTCAACACTGTTTTGTTTGGGAGAATAGCCACTGACTGTATTCGAGGAACTGGGCATGCTGCCCAGGGAAGTGGTGGAGTCACCATCCCTGGAGGCGTTCAAGAAACGTGTAGATATAGAGCTTGGGGACATGGTTTAGTGAGTTAGGTGGTATTGGGTTGGACTTGATGATCCTTGAGGTCTTTTCCAACCTTAATGATTTTAGGATTCTATGATTCAGTTTAATTTGAAAGGCGTGGGGATAGAGCACAGGAGTTGCAGGACCTTTGATAGGGTGCCACATGCCATTAAAGTAATGATGTTACTGTTTGCATCACCATTGTGGTGTGAATGTTTAACCATTATTAACCAGTAAGTCTCCAGTGTTTTCTTAATTACCTAAACCTCCATGGTGTGAGAAGATCAATATGTCAAGTTGAAAGAATTAGAATATGAAGGGAACATTTAAGGGGTAAGTCCTTGGAGAGGCTTTACCCCAATGGTGTCTTTTACATGTTTCCTGCTAACAGCATGGAATTTGTGAGGATGGAAATTGATTATTAATCAATTTTCTTTATAATAAATAGAATTTTAACCCATCTTGTTTGATTTTACTGTGCAGATGTCCTGAATCTCACTAGTGGCTTTCATGTTGACTCTTCATAGGAATAAATGTAATAGTGCAGGTGTTTAATTGGACCTTGCCTTTATATGGCCTTGACATGGTTTCAGCAGGCCTTACTACTTCTTTTCATTTAATATTTTGGATCTGCTGGTTCTGATTTGTTGACTATTATGTTTCTAGGGGTGTGCATTCTGTTGTGTGAAGATTTACATACTTAGCTGTGTTAACAGTGAAGTCTTAAGCAATTTAATAACTGCTATCAAAAAGTGGCACACATCTGAATAGAGAAGCAGTATTTTACAGATGAGCTTCACCAGTTTTGTAACTAGCTGTAGGCACACCTTAGGTATTTATGCTGTTTTGCAAATTTCTACGAAACAAGTTTTCATTGATATTTTAAAATAATGTTTTTATTTTTTCAGCTTTATTTACTCATGCCTCTTTTTGTTTGTTTGTTTGTTTGTTTTAAATAGTGGAGATGGGAAGCTTCCTGTATGTGTTGCAACAGGAGAGCCTATCCTGGAGTATCGATTCTGGATGTGCGGTGTATGTAAGCACTGCATGAAAACCAAAGAAGCAAGCAATTATAACTTCTGTCCTCTGTGCCACAGTAAAGTGTAGCGGGGGATAAAGGACTGTTTATTGTCATATCTGTAAAGTCTCCTAAAAATACTCCCTAAATTGTTACCGATTTACTATATTTTAAAATACAGCTCAGGTACTATATTGTAACAGATAGTGCCATTATTAGAGAAACATAAAAAAAAACAACAAAAAAACCACAAGAGAACCCTTACTAGTTCCATTTATGTGTTAATATACTCAGATTTTGTTACTTTTTTTAATGGTTTTAAGGTAAAAGCATTCTTTTCTAATTGTAAATTGAGCCTAGTTTCAATACCATGCGAATGCAATGTAGGTTCATCTTAATACATTTTACTCTGACCAAGCTTCATTTTTTTGTTGTTTCTGTAATTCCATAGGAAATTATTGTTTTTTCTCAAAATTCACTATTTTTTAAATAATGCCTCAGTTGTTGTTATATTACTGTATATGTGTATATATATATTACTACTGTTTCACTGGAGCGATGGTACCCGTTCAGGCACACATCTCTGCTATTTTCTTTCACCAAGTGTATGTAAACCCACCCCAGCAATAAAGGGCTTGCAAACATTCAGCGATCGGTGCCGTTCGTCTGCATCTGCGTTCCTGAGCTTTGGCAAGGTCTTCACCAGTGAAGGAAACCTCTGTGAACCTTCAGACTGGACTCTGGTAATGAGCTGGGGTTTTTAAGTAGCTGAAGCAAGCGGCTGACACGTGTTGAACAGCTCTTGAGAGCTGAACCGTCACCCTCGTTAACACACCCTTTGTCCGTCCCCGTCACCGCTCC